CCGCTGTGCCACCAGGGAGAGCCCTCAAAATGACCTTTTTAAAGTTGCATTGTTGGTATCAGAATTCAAACTAGGTTCACAAAGAACATTTACCAAATAAAATATAGATAAAACCAAATTTATCCATTTAGTGGTATCTACTAGAGATTTTGCATTCACTGAATACGGTATGAAGCTGATGACATTACATCACTTGGATGGAATGTAAACCTGGCCCAGAACTGGATTTCCAGTGAAGTACTTGAGAGGCTCTGCTTAGTATATGGAAAGGAAAGAAGCAAAGACTGGGAAAAAGAAATGCGTGGGCTGGCCCTGTCATGTGCCTTGCCCTGTCCTGGGCTATATAGTTCTCCAAACAGATGCTGGAGTAGCCACAACTTTTATAAGCAATGTATGGCTCATCTTTCTAGACTGGGGAAATTTCTCCTGAAATGAATTCTAGGACCTCCACAGAGATGGGACATTACTTAGAGGAGAAACGAGTAGTTATTATACCAGACAGCAGAGCCAGCTTCTAGGATTCAGTTTGACCTGCATGATCTATGCCTTCCCTATGAACAAAGCTATGAGTAACCTATTTAAGAATTTTTTGGACCCTCCTGGTGGCGCAGTGGGTTAGGATGTAGCACTGTAAGCGAGCCGCAGCAGCTTCAGTCTGAGTTCGATCTCCGGCCCTGGAGGTGATCCACATGGCGTGACCACTGACCTGCCTGCTGCTCAGCAGTGTACTTCGTTGATCTGTCTGTTCTGCTCCTTGCTCTGTCTCTGGTGAGGCCTCTCACCACCCCTACAACTCTGGCTTGTACCCCAGTTCTGTATGCATAAATAATTCTTAAAAAAAAGAAAGAATTACTTGATTGATGGATTAGAAAATCTCCAAATCTGGTGAGCAGAAGCCTGACTTCACCAACATGCTAGGAAACAAGGCCCCTTGTCACCTTCCCAAATGAAGTGGGCTCCAGACTCAGGGTTTTTTAATGACACAGAAGCCAGGTAACCTGTGGTCAGTATCCCACTACTATAACTCTTTCTTCTTACTTTCCAAGAGGAATCTTCCACTATTTACCTGGTAATGGTGATCCCAGGAAAGGGAAATCTCCCAATGGTAAAATCTAAAGACTACTCGTCCTACTACTTTTGACTGAAAGGAAAGATGGCCTCAGGAAGGCTTTGACTTGTATGGACTCATGTTACAATCAAATGGTTTGGCTGACGGGATCTGGAAAGAACGAAATGAGTAACAGACTGGTTTGGAGAAGAAGTATGATTACGATATAGCAGAATATAGTCAAGCGTATGAGAAAATCCTCTGTCTCATGGAAATGCCTGGTTGTATTCTATGTGAATTCTACTGCGAAAGAGGCTATTTAATAACTTGTGGACTTTTTCACTACTTGGTAAGGGGTTAATCTTCATTCCTACTCATCCTGATGCTTATTTAGTGGGTTAAAAAAAAAAAGGGGGGGGGGAAGCCATGTGGCAGAAATGGATGCCAAGTCCAGGCTAAACCACAGGGTGTCCCCTCAACAAAGTTAATGATACGGTTCGATGAAGGATCCAGACAGTTACTTGTGGAGAGCTGATTACAATGGACCCTTTTCATAATAGTGGAGGAGGATCTTACTGAAAAAGAGATTTACTCCAGATATGGATTTGTTTTCCTTCTGACATATCTCTGCTGTTACGGCGTTTCTCACACTGCTACTTCCATCCAGGAATTCCCCAGTGAGGAAAATCCAATGATAGGCGAGAGGCCACGAGTGTCACTGACTTTATCTCACTGAGCATTGTACAAAAGCATGGGATTCTGTCACACAGAATAATGGCCTAATGAATCCAAAGTCTGGAGGGAGCATGGGGACACATCTTTAAGTTGCAATACCAGCATGGAACGAGGAAGATCTTCTCAATCAGTGCCTGATAAGGTGATGTTCATCACCTGTCAGAACACATGGCTCCAGAAGCAAAGGGTAAGCAAAACACAAAGGTTGCTCCTTATGACTACTTAATCATATGTTTGCAAATGCTTTTCTTCCCATCCAGTAACTCTGTTCTGTCAAAACTGAATTTAGTTGCCCAAGGAGAAGTACTTCCCCTAGAATTCACAGCAGTGCCTCCATTGGCCTTTTTCCTCTTTCCGGGGACTGGGACATGAGCACCCAAAGACTTTTGTCTTTTGTAGTCACGGCTACTGTGGCTCTTTGACTGGATGCAACAACCTTCAAATCAGTCTCCATTCTCTTCTTTTCTAAAGTATGAATCACAATCTATCATTTCCTTGTATGGCATGGCTTCTCATTACACTTAAAGTAATCCTAACTCCATCTTGTGACCTCAGTGACTTCTCTACTTGGACACAGACTTACCTTCTCTTCTTCCCCTCCTTTTTCTCAACCCAGACACTGGGGCCTTCTCACTCACACACATCGCTTCCCAACCTAAATTTGGGCATCGAACAGTCCTGGGACCTCTTCCATCTCATTATGTTTGCTTCCTGCTCATCTTTAAAGTCTGGGTGCCAAAGTCCCCTTCTGAGCTGTTCCAGTGCATTCTTATTCACCCTCCATCACATTGCCAATGTTCATCTTCTCCAGAGCCTGAGATAATTAGTGCTTGAGATAATTCTATTTACTGAGCTAGCAAACCTGCTTAAATGCCACACATATACTCTTTGTGATGCTTTATTCTCTGTTGTATCTCAAGGGGTAAAAATAGTGTCTGGCTTATAACTGATGTTCCAACCAATTTTGGAGATTGACTGACTGCTGGCTAAGAGAGGGAGATAAAGGGAACCATGACAACTCGAACCAACTAGAGCATCGTCAGCTCAGAAACCTTCAGAGTGAAATGTCTGTGACACCTCCACATGCATTATGAGAAGTGTGTACTGCTTAAATTTACATGTGGTTCTAAAAATTGAAAAGGGATCACAACAAAGCTGGAGAAGGAATGGATATACTCAGAGGCCCAGACTTGGATATGTCCGCAGAAACCGGTGAGCTTTTGGGCTGTCTCCCTCTAGGACTGACAGTGTTTCTGAAGTACTCATTTGATAGGTAAGGTGCATGTTAGAACACCGTTCTTCTGCAAAGAGATGCCCAGTTATATTTTTCTTCACAGCAGTACCTGCTATGTAGCACAGCTACTTGTTAATCTATTATTTCTTCACTAGAATTGATTTTAGAGGCTGCTTTGTTCACTGTTATCACCTTGCAAATGGTAACCGATCGTTAATGAATGAATGAATGAGTCAGTCAAATTAATGAACAAATAGAGGACCTGGACAAACTTCCTTCTATTTCTAGTAGAAAAGAAATTCTACTAGAAAATTTCTGGTTTCTTCTGGCAGAATATCCTTCCCAACTTCACTTTCAATCTAGAAAGCAGGAAATCCATGCTCCTGCCTCCTAATACAGAAAGTAAGAGGCCCCAGTGGCCCTTATCACCTAAGCATGGAATCCTCTATCCTGGGAATATGACCTTTCAGTGAATGACAAAGGACAGGGCTGGCTTGCCTTCCCTCATTCCCTGGGGTTGGTGCAGTGTCTTCCTGCTACCTGCCCTCCTTGACGCCTCTCATATGGCCCCCTCCCCCGGAGCAGCAAGTGTAATAGCCACCCATTTCCTAGGCTGGTTCCCCAAACACTCCATCAATTTGGGAGCACCTGACATCCTTCCAACAAATTTTCTTTAAGCTAATTGGAGTCAGATTTTGTTTCTTCTCAATAAAACAACACTAAAAACAAAACAAAACACAGAAACAAACTGTTAACTATTTGTATATGTGTAGGGTAGAAGGAGAAAAGCGTTTACATTCTTACTGCCTTAATGACACAAGATATTCCCTGACACTTTTACATACCTTTAAAAGTTTTGACAGTATGTAAACATGTTATATATGGCTGAAATTGTTTACATGTCACAGCTTAAATCATGCCCTCCCAAATGATGCTGAAATCCTACCCCTCAGCACAAGTGAACTTTATTTGGAAATAAAGTTTTAGTGTTTGACTAAGTTCAGATGAGGTCCTTAGGGTGGGCCCTATTTCGATATGACAGTGTGAACGCCCTGTTAAAATGAAGGCAGAGAAAGAGTAACACATCTACATGCTAAGACAAAGGTTCCCTGAGAAGCCAGAACTAGAGAGAGGTGAGCAGTGATTCGCCCACATGGCTCTCGGAAGACAAGCTGACACCCTAATCTCAGTTACCAGCCTTCATAACTGACATAATAAGTTTTTGTTGTTTAAGCCACCCTGTTCTTAGCCTTTCTCTTGTCAATCCTAGCAAGACAAGTACATATGGCTCTATTTCCTCCTTTTATCTCACATTAAAATTACAGCCATTTTTCATATTGCTACATGCTTTCCCTAATTATGGTGTAAACTGTTTAGAAGAAGTTGCCCATGTGACAATTCAACTTCCTATTCTATTACAGCTGAACATTTACGTTCCTCACCTTTTGGGCTATCAGAATAATGTTAACAACATTTTATACATGTAAGGTTTTTTTTTTTTAAACTTTTAGATAGTTATCTCAAAATACATCACCAGCAGTTGATGACAGGGTTAGCGAGGATGAAGATGAGACAAGCATGGCTCAACTACTCTGCAAGAGGATGACAATAAATATACTTTGTCATCCAGGGAATGAGTTGACACGGTAAAGGGAAGGGAGAGAATTCTAGGCAATGGGAGTAAGGTGACCAAAAACGAAGGGAGTGTGGAAGCACAGAGAGAACGGAGGGAACAGTGAGTGGTGAGCTCTGTGTTCCGCATACGGCACAACAGTGACCTGGACAATTGATGACAAGTCTACACCCATGTGAGCTACCCTGAGAAGAGCCTCCCTCACCATCAGGCAAACAGCTCTAGAATCAGAGACAGGCAGAAGTTGCCAATCAATTGGCAAGAGTTAAATGACTGATTCCACACCAGCTTAGCAGAGCCCCCACCCCCACCCGCATCCCCACTCCCACCACAGAGAGTGGGAGACTCACTATTGGATGCTCTCATTTGCCGACGGCGTCCCACACGGTCCAGTCCGATGGGGGTGCTCTGGGAAAAGGTAAACGGCCGGAGTCGGGCAGAAACGGCCTTGTAGGGAGGCACCTGGTGAGCTGGCACAGGCGGCCTGGCTGCCGGCTACAAAAGGAAGCAAAAAGGCTGTGAGAAGATGCCAGGAAGTGGCAGCCTGTGAGCTCCTCGCACAGACAGCTAGCGGGGCTCGGCATTCTCACCTCCAAGCCGCTCTCAGATGTGAACTGGTTTCTCCAAGTCATGTCAAAAGCTTCATGCTGTTATTCTAGACATTTCAACGCACTGGCACTTAGCTACAGCATGACATTTCAACGTATTTGTCAGTGACACATCAGAAGGTAACACCCAGTGAAAGCAAAGCACTGAAGAGGAAAAGCGCATTTAGGAAGTGGTGGATTTCTCACAAAGATGCGGGTCATAAGGTTAGGAAGATGTGTTCCCAGTAACAGCCTTGAGAGGAATCAGACAGTGACAGAGGCTCTGGCCGACTTAAGCTTCTTTTACTCATCCACAGGCAGGCCTCAATAAGTATGTGTGGAATATGACTCTTGAGTTTTGTTTTAAAAAAATAATAATAATAGAGCTGTTTTTTTCACAAATATAACCAGGTCTTTTCAGAATCTCCTATATGCTTATTTTGATTTTCCTTCTCAACCCTTCCTATATTTACACCAAATGCCAAGTTGGTTCATGCTTTCCTTAGAATTTTCCTACCCAATTCCCCAAATTAGCTATAGTGCAGAAAATTATCTTACCCTACTCCCCCTTTGTTGATGCTTTGAAATGAGATAGGGTGCTTTAAATCTTCCTGGTACTGCTTTTGAGTTAGAACAGGCTACAGTTTACTCAAGCTCAGCATTATTTCCTAGCAGAAAAAGTATCTTAAAACAGAAAGTTCATGGCATTTTTCTACTGAATTTGTTTTTACTTTAAAAATTCAATTTAATCACAAGATATTCTTTAGCACTTGCTCTAAGCAAGGCAACAAGATGGACTTGATAGGGAAAATGTAAACATAGAATCTAACGACAATTTCCTTTTCAAGTGTATTTTATGGGTTATTTATGGTAGCAGGTAGCAGGTTTAAAAAATGGAAGTTGGGCTCTTTCTCATATACTATTTCTGGTAACATCTGGCTGTGGATGGGGTGTTAGCCTCACCAAACATTATAAACACCTTCTGAACACAACCTTTTTCTAAATATTTTGTATCTTCAAAGTGATCTTCCAATACTCAGTAAATACTTGTTGAATTACTAAAAGATACTAAAAGAATAATGTTAATATGTTAATCTATTGTCAAACAGTTGCAATGTCTCAACCAGAAGAAAATGGTAGGAAAAACTATTTCCTTATCTCCTAGAAAGTGATTTCTTCTTTATTTTCTTCTTACTATTACATTTTAACCATGATGACACTTTCAACAATTCCTTCTTTCAGGAAGTTCACTACATTTGTACTGCTGCTCTTCCCATCTTCAAATTTCAGATGATTTAGAACAAATAGCAAACTAGTTTCACATACAATTCAAGATTTCAGGGAAGATAGAAGATTAGTAAAAGGCATCTAAATGTCAGATGGTTAGTTTTGATTCATGCATGTTTTCAAGCAAAGTCAGGAAGAAAGGCTGAGAGCAGATGATGTCATCTTCGTCAGGGAAAAGAAAGGAAAGCAGCTTCCTGTTTAGTTTGCAGCAGGAGAACAAAGGCCAGGAAGCTGGAGGGCTGCTGGCTTTGGTAAAAGCAACCCAGATCTTACTTGAGTCAGAAGAGTCTCTATTTCCTCTGTCTGGCTGTCTGCATAGAAGCTGACCCCGCCTATCACAGAGATGGGCCGTCTCCTCCGGCCTCCTTTGAGGTACATCTCAGCAGCTCTCTGGCCGTCAGCGTTGGAAGAGGTCACGCTTGGCTGGTGGTCACCATCCACAATGTCTTCGTTCTGGGGGTCCGCAGCAACTGAGTCTTCAGGAATAGATAAACTTCGGCTGACCAACTGGCCATAGTCAGAGAGTGGTCGAGGCCTTGACCTTCTTCCTGAACCCCATCTCCGCTTGGTGATCCTTTGAGCCTCAGCCCGATCTTCCTCCTGGGATGAGCTCCGCCTCCAGGATTCCTCAGTAACCACCTTTTCAAATGCCAACAAGTTAGGTGAGCATCAATACTCAGGCAGGTATTATTACAATTCCAAATTCCCTCCTACTTCCTTGGCCCAGATTCAAGACATTTGATTCACTTATTTTAATGTTATTTGTATTACAGAAAGACATCATTGAAATGTAGATTAAGAAGTAAATCGATCTTTAGTTAGAGACTGAATTAAAACCACAATTTAGATGGTATTATTTGGTGGCCAATGAGTTCTGATAAGGTATTAAGAAGGTCAGCCCCAGGCCCTCCCTGGAGGCGCAGCAGGTTAAAGCACAGCACTAAGAAGCTAAAGCCACTTCATCATGAGTTAGATCCCTGCCCAGGTGGTGAGCCACATGGCGTGGTAGACCTCTCCTGACCCGCCTGCTGTTCCCCTCAGCAGTGTACATCTTCAGTTGACTTGTTCTGCTCTCCACTCTGTCTCTGGTGAATCCTCTCACCACCCCTGTACAGCTGGCCTGTACCCCAGTTCTGTATGCATAAATAAATAAATCTTAAAAAAAAAAAAAAAAGGAGCTCAGTCCCACTGGGAATTAATCAAAAGAACTTTTAGCTATGGTAGGAGTTACCAAAAACTGACATAATAACGGTGGAAACACAGGCCTGCCAGTAGAAAAAAATGAATGTGCAATGCTATACAACTCCACTTAAGGTGTTCCCTTTCAATAAGGTTTAAAAATAGTAGAATCTTTAAGAAGATTAAGTCTGGGTTGTTAGGGCCTAACAGAGACTCAAGTGAAGTCTGAAGGGGAGGAAAGAACACTGAAGGACTCAAAGAAGTAGCTCAGGTTTCTAAGAGGCTGTGTGAGCTTGGCCAGTTTCAGCCAATCTTTCATGATTTCAGACTCAAATATTCCACAGCACTTCTGAGAGTTTATGTTACTAAATTAGCATCTTTTTCTTTCTTCCTTTTTATTTATATACTTTTTACATTGTCGTTCATTCTCCTCTCAGGTGTAGTCCCCACAAAATTACCACCACAGAGACCCCCGTGAATTTTCATAGTTTCTGGTGCTCTTCCCTCCCCTGTTTTGGTCTCTCTCCCTCACCCTCCCTTGATGAATGTCTACAATTTATAGTTTGCCTGCTATTTCTGTCCTTTCCCCACCCCTGATCCTTTGTTTGTTTTCCCTAAGATCCTTCTATTAGTGAAACCATCCAATAGTTTTCTCTTTCCTTTTGGCTTGTTTCATGGAGCATGATGCCTTCCAGCTCCACCCATGTTGCTGCGAATGGCATCATGAGTTTATCTTTTCTGATGGCTGAATGTGGTATATATACACAATGGAATCTTTTTGATTTCTCTAAAACTTTTTCAAAGGCAATGCAATGTGCTAGGGAAAAAACATGAGGTTTGAAATGGGGACAACTCTGTGCCAGTCTGCCTGGGCCACTAACAAGCTTTGTAACCACAAGCAGGTTACTTACCCTCTGAGCATTTGGTTCTGCAACTGTTCACAGGGCAATAATGAATGTGTCGTTAAGAAGACCTAAGATCATACTTAGAAGTCAGTAATTATTGCCCTTTAAAAGCTACAGAAAGCTGGCCCTCCCTGGTGGCACAGCACTAAGAAGCTAATGCCCCTTCAGCATGAGTTTGATTCCCACCTGCCCCAGAGGTGACCCACATGGCGCGGCAGACCTCTCCAGACCCACCCACTGCTCCCCTCAGAAGTGTACTTCCATGATCTGCCTGTTCTGCTCCCCACTCTGTCTCTGGTGAATCCTCTCACCGCCCATGCACCTCTGGCCTGTACCCCAGTTCTGTATGCATAAATAAACAAATCTTTAAAAAAAAAAAAAGGCTATAGAAAACCATCTTTTGGAGAAAACCCCTCTCTCAACAGTCCCTTCAAATCTGGGCCCTGAGGGCTGTTGCACAGATCAATGGGAGGGAGCAAAGATAAGGTGTTGCAAAACTATCTAACAGACACCAGGTACACGCTCCTGGACCAGGCCTGGGTGCCTTCAGTTCTTCCACCTTACAGGTTATTTTTTAAGTAATATAAAAATAAAAACAGGAAGGAGCACAAAGAGGAGCAGTATAATAACCAAAGAAGTCGTGTGACCTCAAGGCAGACAACAGGCCACCCTAGCCTGAAGGCAGTCCCCGCAGCTGACACACAGTTGTGTCCTCTGCCCATGAGCACAGGCCTGAGAGGCCTTGCTGCTTCTTCCAATTATTGGCAGCCCAGACCTGAAGCGCAGACTCCCTAGCTTCCAATCTGATGTGCCTAGACTGTTTATTGAGACCATGCATCATGAAAATTCTGATGAAGGAAGCAGGAAAGGATGGACAAATTCTTCACCATCGTTATGCTGCAAATTAGGAAAACTGAGGCCTCCAACAGCAAAGCTCACAACTACAATTAGAAACAGCAGAGACACTGAAATCTGGGTCTAATTTCTGTACCACTATATCCCATTTCCCCATTATAATAAGTCATCTCTGCTCAAAAGAAAATGGGTTCTAGCAATCACCACTTAACTTGCTATCTATCTGCTGATAATTGGTGCCTGGAACACTATCTTCGAGTCATAATGGATCCATAATGTAGCAATGTGGGAGAAAAACTGTTTTGAGCTGAGGGGATTTAAGAAAAGGCTTTTCTTTTTCTTTCCCTGAGCACACTTATCTACCTGAAAGCAGAGCCTCCCAAAGGATCTCAGTTGTCCAAAATCCCCTCCCTTGGGAAAGGAACCTCTTTCTTCCAGCCAGGGAAGACTTAATCATCACTTGAGAGGAGAAGCCCACACTTAAACAGACATTATCACAAAATGATGATATCTCTCATTTATTTTGTTTCAGGCCCATTTATTTTTGCTGAAAGTCACTTGTTTTCCCATAAATGTTCTTTTCTACCTCCCCTACCCTGATTCTGCTATTTTCTCTAGTCACATATTTTTGGTAAACTCCCACTTATTTACATGAATAAAAATCTGCCTTTTTCTCTTGCTAATCTTTTTGTGTGTTTGTTTAATTCAAACCCCAAGGGACAGAACATAAGAGAGTGGAGGAAGGGTTTTCCTTTCTGTTACCACCATAGGAAAACATGTGAAAAATTATGAAAAAGCTTTGTATTACTTATGGACAGATTATGAATGGTTTTTCTAAATCATATGGCCTTGAGCACACAATGAGAATAAAATCTTCATATTATTTCCTTGTGATTAAAAAAAGGTTCAGAAACAAAGGGCCAGAAAAACAGAAGAACAATGAAATTATAGAATCCTCTCTCTGATCACAAAACTAAGTACACCTCTTTTTAAAAAAAAAAGTCTTTTTTGTACTTGTGCAACATGCTATATACCTTTCCTCACGGATGCCAAAGAGATAACAAGAAAATGGGCTTAAGAAAAAAAGAAGTATCTTAGTGGTTCAGGTAACAAATCCTTCTGCAGACTAAGCCATACTCCAGGAAGTGATGAGGCAAAGGAGATGTGCTCCTGGCAGGAACACAGAACACAGAACACAGAAGGGACAATGCCAGTCGGACAGTTACCCCCGAGGGTCAGCTGCTGTCCTCTGCAGGGGGAAGCTGGGGAAAAACCAACTAAAACTTACACAGCTCCACTCACCTATAGTATCAGTTGTTTAACCCAGAAAAATAAGGTTTTAGACCTTATACAGTATAAAACAAGGTAGTGGCACTTCACTGTTTAGAGATCTACTTTTATATCTAATTTCCCTTAAATGAAACTTGATTGCTATGTCATAATAAAAAGTCTAAATGTTACTGAAAGTCTACAAAGTTGCAAAAATCAGCTCCCAGGATTACATATAAAACTGAAATGTCCATTTTATTCCTAGCAAAAGCACAGAGAGAGGGAGGGGAAACAGTGAGTAAAATCCCTGTAATTTAAAGTCACATTCAATCAGTGATCCTTAGCCAGAAAAGACTTACATTCCTTATAAAACAAATTTGAACTGATTCATATTCTAGGACTGGGTCTTCTTTCAATTAGAATGTACAAGCTAGGTTTATTCTAGAGAATGTAGTTAGATGGTGATTACCAACTCCAAACACTAACAAACAGGCTAGAACCCACCCAAGATTCTGCTCCAGGCAGCTGTGGTCCACAGACACACTGAAGGAACAACAGCTGAACACCTCCATGATCTCTGCTGTCTTATTGTCCTTAAGACACTGTAATTCTCAGATTCCAGCAGCCTAAACTTCAGATACACCCAGGGCTCACTGAGGCTGAAAAGCCAACTCGCACCCATATCATAAAGGTCTGTAAACACACTTCAGTGGAATGGTTTCTCTTTTAACTCTTATTTGTCAGTGTTGTTTTAAAGTATGTTACCTAGTCAGTGGTACCTTTTATGCGTCTGCTACAAGATTTCTTCTTTTATAAAAGTAAAAAGTCAAAACACTTCTTGTTACCTCGTTAAGACACTTCAAAACATTTTTCGAAGACACAATGGGAATAAATGACTAATCAGATGGAAAGTAAAATAATAGCACAATAAAACCTGATTTCATATGCATCCATTCAAAAGGCTGATCTAAAAATAAGCATGAAGGGTCAACTAAGAATTGCAGATTGAGTTCTGTCCCCCCAAAGACTGAAGTCCTAAACCCCAGTGCCAGTGAATATGAATGACCTTATTTGGAAATCCAGTTGTCCTGGATATAATAAAATTAAGATGAGGTGATATTTGAGTAAGTGGTCCCTAATGAATGGCTGAAGAAAAGGGTGACCTGGATACACATATAGAAAATAAAAGGAAAGTCGGGTGAAGGCTGAGGCAAAGATGTAAGTGATAAGTATAAGTGAGTGATAAGATAAGCACCAAGGTTTGCCACAACCCCCACTAGAACCGGAAGAGGGCAGAACAGATTCTCCCCTGTGGCCTCAAAGGGAGCGAGGTCCTGTTCAGCCCTTGATTTCAGACATCTGGCCTCCACAGCCATAAAAGAGTAAATGTCTGGTGTTTTAAGTCACCCACTTTGGGGTGATGTGTCACAG